TGCCTTAGACTAGGAATAGCTAAGAGCTGAATATAAAATGATGTGGCCTTAGATTAAGAATAATTTAAGAGCATTATTGATATATATTGAATATCAAATGACTTGGAATAAAATATTGAAAATATTTTGAATGTTTGAACCATATATTGTGTGCATGATATCAAATGGTTGATTATGAATTGAGATTCAATTTATGTGGATGTTCGACGTTTTAGATATGCTTACTCAGCTTCACCGCTGAGCGTGTAGTATGTTTTATTTGCTACACGCACGTAAACAGAAAGATTAATGTGATCCTGGCGGCAGATGGGGCGAGATTGTCGGGATGGATGTGACAAGTTTTGAAATGATTTATGATATGTCAATATTAAATTCGCTTCCGCAATATTGTTAAATACTCTGTACTGTATATGTTATGAAAACTATTATTGAGATTAATAGTGTGTTTGAAAAGTTTTAAATTTTACGATTACCAAGTTAAATACTTTAGTCCGAATGGGGCTGCAGACCTGGACGGATTAGGGTGTTACAGTATCGATCACGTCCCTCTTCGATGTGATAATACTAGCGCCATAAGCTTGACAAAGGATCCGGTTCTTCACTCAAGGACGAAACATATTGACATTAGGCATCATTTCATTAGAGATCATGTTCTCAAAGGTGATGTCGAAATTGAGTTCGTTGAAACACACAACAAATTAGCCGACATTTTCACAAAACCTTTAGAGAAAGAGTCGTTCTTGACTCCACGATGATCTAAGTTGTGCATTAATTATCATTTTTGGTCCCTACTAACTTGAACGTCGGAGACGTTTTAAATTCTTTTTTACAGGGCTTTTCTTTTAATTTTATTTTCAGGTGTCTAAGTCAAGGGGAACAAACTAAATCGATTTCTGATTTCCAGACTTGGTGTAAATCGACTTACAGGCTTGTGATAATCAACTATCACAGCCCGCGGAAGTTTGGAGCAAATAAACCGCAAACCTCAAAAATCGATTATCATCATTAGAATAATCGACTATCCCAGCCTGCAGAAGTTTAGAGCAAAACAGGCGCAAAGCAGCAACAATCGATGATACACATGGTGTAAATCGACTATTGAAGCCTGCAGAACCTTCGGCGGAGAATCAGAGGTCAACAACAATCGATTTACAGATGTTGTAAATCGATTACCAACGGCAGATTTTCAAAAATCTGACCGTTTTCTAGCCGTTTGAAAAAGCATTTAATTGTTGTTTGACTCCACCAACGGATCTCTAGGCCTCCAGCTCTATAAATTGGTGATATCTCTTCATTGTTCACTCATTCCATTCCAATTTACTTCATATATTCATAAAATTACATCAATTCTTGCTCTTGTTCTTCATTTTTTTTCCAAATTTCTGCAATCTCTCTCTTCATCTGATTTCATGGCAGAGGTCAAAGAAAAAGATCCCGCACCGGTAAGAACGTCGCCTCCTCCTCGGCTCGTCCACCGTCGACGCACAAGTATCTCGACGGGTCGTTCCTTTGGTTCAACGACCGCGCTGGGGCCACGCGTTTTTTGGAGAAGTTTGAGCACCGGGAAATTCTTCCTCCCCAGTTCTCCACCGCCCGCTTCATTCATGATTCCATCCCATGCGAGGCATGAATTACCCTCGAGCGTGGAAATCTCCATGATCTCCTCTATATCAACAAGCACCATTATTAACCTTTTCTTGTTCGAGCTTTCTACTCGAACTTGAAAAAGGATGAGGACGAAGCGTTGATTTCTAACGTCAACGGGGTGGACATCTATTTGAATAAGGAAAACATTCAAATTCTCACAGGGCTTCGTTGGAACGGACAAGATCTCGGCCTCTATGTCGGAGAAGAAGGTGCACGGTTCAACGAGACCGCCCTCTTGGAGGAAGTGGGTATCCAAAATTTCGTCCCCTCTCCCCAACAGCGGCGTCCGACAATCACTTCCATGAGTCCCGTGTATCGATTCATTTTTTATGTTTTGACACGGATTCTCAAGCCTAGGAAGTTCAATCACACCACTCTCTCCCAAGAGGACACGAAAACGCTCCATGCAATAATTCACAACGCTAACATCAGTTGGTGTAAATTTGTGATGACTCACATGTTTAGCGCCACCTCCGACGATCAGCCGCTTCCCTACGCCCTCCTCGTCATGGCGATTCTTGATGAGTATAACATCAAGACCGACGTTGGGCCTAAGACAAAGGGGACAAAGCATTGGGAGATTGATGAATCCTCCTTCCACTCAGGCGCCGACGAGACTCCGTTTCGACAGCCTCGTCCACACCGCCAACCAAGGGCCACCGCTTCGACCAACCCTTCTCTTTCCAAGCAAATGGCAGCCTTGACCGCCACTCTCTCTCGGATTGACACCAACGTCTCCCAAACAGCCCAAAATGTCAATATTTTGAGCCGTGAGCTTCACGGGTATTTTGACTTTGTCAACTACCCCTACATTCAAATGGTCCCTTATGTTCCTCCGCCAAACCTCGGTGGTGAACCAAGCGGGACTATCAACGTTGGTGGAGAAGAAGAGGCGAACGATGAGGAAGAAGAGAAAGAGGAAGCCGAAGAAGAAAAATAAGAAGAAGAAGAAGAAGAAGATGATGATGATGATGATGATGATGATGATGATGATGATGATGATGATGAAGAGGAAGACATCGACGAAGAACAACTTCTCGATGATCTTTCACTAGATTTCTAGAGCTCTAGCTCTTTTCCCTTCTCTTCTTTATTTATATTTTCTTTAAATTTGCTTCCGTTGTGTACTTTTCTATTTCCCTTATTTAATGAATAAAAATCTTTATGGTTTTTGTTGTTAAATCTTTTTGTTAATGTCAAAAGGGGGAAGATAAGGGCTATGCATATATTAAGGGGGAATTTTTATTAAGGGGGAATTTTTTTTCAAAAAAAGCTCAAAACCTTATGCATATCCCCGTCTTGTTTGCCATTATCAAAAGGGGGAAATTGTTGGAACACACTTTGTACGTTTAACTAAAGTCGTGTCCATTTCTGACAGGTTTTGATAATTGCCAAACCGCCGTGGATATGAAGAGTTTCGTTGAATAACTCAAGGCGTGAAGAAAGGCATGGAACAAGACCAAAAAGACTCAAGGACAAGATCAAGAATTGAAGACGTAGTCGAGTCGGTCTTTTGTGATCAAAACCGACAATCAATTCAAGTCTCGGTTCTCAAAGAGTCAAAATTATTTTACAATTTCATAAAATGTTTTTGTGCATCAAAATAAACATTTTTAATAACTTTTTATTGTGTTTAAATCCCTGGTCCTTGCTCAGAACCAAAACCACCTAGGTCGGTGTTCGGCATCGGCGTACGACATTCGGGGTTCGGCGTTCGATTTTTGGCGCCCAAACCAACTCGGTGGTTTTCAATGTTTTAAACCTCGTTTTTATCTCTGGGCATATTTAAAAGGTTCCCAAATAATTATTTTATAAAAACCACTTTTATATCTTGGTCAATCGGTCCAACACGTGAAAAACAGTCAAAACCGTACGCACGTGATTTACGACCTTGAAAACTTGGTTTTTACCAAACAAGTTTTGTTTTCACTATTTTATACCATATACAATGGTTTTCAAACCTGGTTTTTACTTTTGGGAACACTTCGTTTTTGGGCCTCGGTTTTTCCAAACGGGTTTCAGCTCGCTAGACTTTAGCTGGGTGATAATCGATTATCACCTTAGTGACAATCGACTATCAGCCTCTACAGCTTTTGAACTTAAAGTTCTGAAGCACGAAATAATCGATTGTCACTTTTGCAACAATCGATTATCACAGTCTGCAGCCAAAACCCAGGAACTTCTGAGAGGACCAATAGTCGATTATCACTTGTTGACAATCGATTATCTGGGTTACCGTTGTCCTCCAACGGATAGAATTTTAAATTTTTGGACAGGGAATCTTTGGATAATCGATTATCAAGCTTTGACAATCGACTATCACCCTGTGTCTCTGAAAAATTTGTCTTCATCCTGTTGGAAATTTTAGCAACGGGTTTATCCCAGTTTGGGCTATAAAATGGCACCCAAATCCTCTCATTTTACACACAATTCTTCAACATTTCAATACTCTTTCATTGCATAAGCATTCCTATCTTTTCTTAGCTATTTGAGAGCCAATTCTTGAAGAAATTATCGTGTTGTTGAGCGTTTACTAGTTCACTCATATCTACTCTTTGTGAGAGTTTTATTCCTGAGTGTTTAAGTGTTTCTATACACTTTAAGGGAGGTTGTTCCCTTGTTATAAACTCGAAGGAAGTCTTTCGTTCCTTCGTGAGAAGTCTTGGAGTGCGGTATCTCCAAGCAAAGGCGTTGAGGCTCGTATGACTCGAGTTTTCAAGTTGTATCGGTTTGTTGAGCACCTTTAAGCTTAACGTAGTTAGTGTAACTCGAGAGAGTCTCTCGAAAGGCTGGATTAGCCACACGTTGTGGTGAACCAGGATAAAATTCGGTGTGCTCCTTCCTTACGCTCTTTACTTTTTTGCTCTTGTTTTTAATTTCCTGCGATTTTGCTTTAAATGCTTTTCACCCCCCTCTAGCGTTGGGACTTTATTCTAACAAAATGCCTGCACGTACATACCATGTTACAGTGACAAATAAAAGGGGACAATTACAAGTGAAGGGAATGGAATTCATGTTGTCATATACATACATACTAACATACATATACTAGGAGTAATGGGTCTCTCATTACTCCTAATTTTATCCATAATTCTAAAATAAAGTTTTTTTCTTAAATACATTGTATAAGAGTAACAAATGTTATAAAAAGCAATAAGACCCTAATAAATAATAATGGTAGTGATGATTGCTGTGCCACTCAAACGAAGTACGTGTTTTTTTTATTTTATGACAAAACAAACAAACGAAAACTAATAATACTCCATTTATACACCCCTATTGGTAGATGAGAAATTATTTTGGTTTAACCACAAACTAATAGATGTAAACAATTTTTTTACTTCAACCTCAAAAAATTATTTCGTGTATGTGTGCCTTATTCCACCATGATCAATTCTCTTCTACTTTTTTTGTGACAACCAATCTCTTTTACTTTGTACCAAAAAAAGTTTCCCTTCTAATTTTCATTTCTTTTTCATTTCAAAATACTTGAACCAAAAAGTATCAAGTAATTAGTCCTTGAAAGGTATCACCCACTCTTCAACTATAACATTTACACTGACTTTCTCTGAGTTTTTAGGTAATGGATCCTTTAAGTTTAAATCGAAAACGTAGAATTCTTTTTATTTGGTTGCAAATAAATATTTTTATAAACAACATTAATTCTTTCCAACTATACTATTTATTTTCATTTGATCACTCCCCTTTGGTACCTAATTCATTAATACTCTGTAGAAATGAATGATAAATTTTTCAACCAAATACGAAACACACCATCAAGGGTGAGTAACATTTGTAACAACAATAACAATAGTATTATTGTAAAGTCTAACTTAATTTCCTTGAAGTAAATAGTGGAAAGCATTGCACACTATGCTTGTAGTACTCTAAAATTAGGATACTAAGCATAACTCTTAAAAAAATAAATGTATTTAATTCAAAGTATTTTTATTCGATTGCAACTAATAAAAATAGTACTTAGGCATCCCCACCCACAACCTCAGTAGCAACCCAATACAGCTTTCTTCTGCCTCATCAAGTTCGTCCGGGAAAGTGGTGGCAGAACCAAAAATGGTGAGTAGTGAAGCCAATACTTGTATTAAGAGCTAGGTAGAAGTGAAAAAATAATAAAGTGACTAGAAGTGAAGCCAAGACATGTATTAAGAGTTAGCTAATACTCAAAAAATGGTGAGTAGTGAAGGATGATTTCAACTGACTTGAGCTCACAGATATTCTCAATAAAAATAAGACCCCTAAAAAAGCTGCACTTCCAGTCATCATTACGCCACGATTTCCAGGATTTGAAGTCATTTCTTGTCATGAAATTTTATGATGAATGAGGCTGGTAGCTAAACAGGGCAAATATGCATGTTCTTGATTTTTTAAGCATTGAGAATAATAATGTTTCTTGGAAAAAATAAAAATGGAAGTAATTTGCAGTGGGAACTACCATATGACCTTAGAATCCCTAACCACCGCAGCTAATCCAATAACCTGAGAAATTTGTAGAGTATAAACATTATTTTTAAGGGAACCATCCAATGGGAACTTCCATATGACCTTTCTAACCACAAATCATTTAGACTAAGTCCTAGAAAGATTAATTATGGCTTTCTAGTTAGGCAAAGCACTCAACAGAGTAGGCCATTTCCTAACAGCTGCCTCCATTGCATTCTGCCTGACCTTGAAAATGACCGTGGAAACATTAATTTGTTGCCCCCCAAATCTAATAGAACATTAATGAACCCATTATTCCCAAAGAATAGACACAGGTAAGCATTGCTTCAAAAAATCCCTCACACTAGGTTTTTTAGAGTGCAGATGAGAACCTTATCTATGAGCCATGTACTATTTGATAGTAGAGCTTGAACTTTGTACCCCAAACATTCTATAGAAGTACTGCCAAAAATATTAGGTTTATTCATTTGGAAATAATTGTGTATGTTTTTTTAACTACTAACATTTTCCATTCAAGAATAGGTTTATTCAATAAATTTTTGGGATAGATGATTGAGACATCAAGGCTAACTCATTGGGGGCATTTTTTTTAATTGGGGGCACCAGCATTATCAACCAAAGGAAAAAAAATTAACTTAACACATGGATTTGACTGGGGCCTTGCCCCCCATATCAACTACTTAGATCCGCCCATGACCCTCGGTGTTATTCCTTTTCTTTTCTGTCCTTACTTACATCACTCCCCCAACTCTTTCTTTACTTTTGTCCTATCCATTTGGTGGAATTCTTCTCACTATGCAAAGAAAAAACCATTGGATTTTTGCATAGATGAATACACTTTCTGATGATGATGAGCTTATTGCATTATTTACTGAGTATGAACTTATTTTTGTCAAATTGTGATAAACTTATTCTAAACTTTCTGAATGCAACCAAATAGTTTATGAATAGCTTATTATGATTTGTGATTTTTGACTTAAGTTGGTATTATTTAGGCTGGTTTCGTTCAATTATCATGGAAAAAAAGTTGGATAAAAGCTAATTGAAAAAGTGTTGAATATGTGAAGGGGTTAAAAGTTTTATATAGTTTGGAGAGATGAATACTCATACACTTGAAGGGAAGTTCTATTGTCCATGTAGACATTGCATGAATGTGTGGAGATGTAATGCTTCTCATATGCTTGATCATTTAATATGAAATGGGTTTAATGATGTTGTAGGTTCGTGGGGGTGCAGCAGAAATCACCAATTGAAAGCTACGCAAACAGATCAAACAACTATGATGTAGAGAAGATACTACAGCACTGTCATAGTAATAGTTGAAAACAGAGTGCTACAACACCTTCTCTGTCACAAGCATACACGTAGAATATAAAGTAAAAATAGTAAACAAGACACCAGAATTGTTCACGCAGTTCGGAGCAAGTTCTCCTACGTCTTCTAGGCCCACGCTCGTGTAATAGCCCTTCCACTAAATCACTGTAAGAATTACACAATCAATCACAACAGAACCTTCTAATGTATTGATTTATCTACTTACAAATGACTTGACGACAAACTTTGTTTGCATCTATCTCCATGGCTTGTTACACACTCTCAAAGATCTTTAAGGACGTAGATTCCAGTACACCTTCAAATAAAGATTCTCCTTGATCTACAAAAATATGCAGGCTGTTTCGAAGCTCATAAATCAAGATTGAAACGTTGAAATTTGATCTCCACCGTTCAGATTAAAGCTCCACAAGTCCTTAGGCTCCTCCTAAAATTTCAGCACGATCGGACAAAGTTTGGTACTCCGATCATCGACAAAACCATAGCTGCGTTTTCTGAAAAAAATCAGCGGCAATATGCAGATTGTAACTTCAATAACAGAAGATTTGTAACTCCTATTGACTTGAACATTTAACACCTTGATGCCCTATGTGTTCGGAACACGCTCTGAAAATTTCAGCAATATTCAACGGTCGGATATCCGTCGATGATCAAATCCGTGCGGGCTGTCCAGAAAATTTGGACTATCAAACTCTGCACCTTGTTTTTCTTTTTTCTGATTTGCTTCAGTTGTTTCGTATTTTTGGCACACCAAAACCCTAAGGGAGGGTGAAGATATTATATGGAATAAAATAGCCCTGTTAGAGTGTGCTTAGGATTCTCAATCATGGCCTTCTCCTTAAGAATTGTAAACCAAGTAGGATTAGAATCCAAGTAGGATTAGAATTCTCTCTTCAAGCTCTTTCCTCTTTCTCTTCCTTCACATGATAGGACTCTAAGTCTAAATAAAATATCTAAAATAATTCTAGGTAAATCTATTTGTTTGTCAAAAAATAATGCCAACACAATATGGAACTAACAATCTCCCCCTTTGGTAATTTTTTGACAAAAACGAATCTCAGCTGTTTTGAACCTCTTCTCCCCCTTTTTTGCATAAAAAATGCCAAAGGTTTTATTAAGAATATTGGGGCAAAAAGAGAAGAGTAACATTCAAGCGAGCTTGATCATTACAATAATGAATATAAAAATAGACCTAGACTTTGTCACATCAACCTGAGCCATATTGAGCGACTCCCCCTCGGACGATCCATCTGAAAAGTAATAATCCGCAAGAATAAAAAGACATGTATACAACTAGCAAAAACATCTATGCTCTAAGGTATTCCACGCTGGAGATGAAACACCTCTTAAAGCATCCTCTAAATCAGGTAGAGATGGGTGTGCACAGACCCAAGCAGGATCTAAGTATACCAAACCGATTCCCATCAAATGCTGTTTTACACATGCCCGATGCCCGTTTTTTCATAGTCATAAACTTCACACTCTCATGACTAGCAAGTGTCACTTTATCACACTTATGATATGATTCAGCACTCTTAACAGCACAACGATCTATTTTCTTTTCTTCTTGATGCAAGCTTGCACTACCGACATGGCATTGATCAGAAGCAACATCCTTCACACAAGGATTATCACCTGTTTTGTACTGATTCTTAGGTACCCAAACCATCCTTGTTGTCACATTCTTTGTTCTATATCTTTAATATTTAAAATTCTTGCATTTCCTCTGAATGTGTCCCCTTTTTCCATAGCAAAAGCAAACATAATTAGCATAGGTAGTAGTATAAGAATACCTTTCAGGTTTAGGATAATGATCCTTGTGTCTTCTCACACTAGATTCTGTCACAACTCTTTGCCTTTTTGCATAGGGTGCTGCATAAATTGTTTCAGCAGAAGCTTCATGAGATGCTTCAGCGGGACTGGCAGAAGATGTTCTAGCAGATTTTGCAGCTTCTAACTTCCTTCTTTGTGGGGCCGTTTGAGCAACTTCCTTTCTTTGATCAACAAACAAGTCAAGTGGGGTCTTGCTGCTTTCGGAACCTGAAAATCTGAGACCCGTCTTGTCTCTATAGAATTTTGAGATATTCACTTGTCCCTCAATAGCTTTTGCTCCAGCACTCCTCATCCATTTGTGATCGTTTTTAAGTTGATTTAATTCATACTTGAGATCAGATTGTTGCCCTTCAAAGTCTTTAATCTTCTTTTCTAATTCTGAAATATCCTCCTTTAGTCTATTTCACTCGGCAACAAGCTGATGGTTCTCAAGGACAGTTTTCTTGTTGGCTTGAAGAAGTTCTGCCCACATCCTTTGGAGAATAGCTAGCTCTTCTGTTGTGTCAGCCTCTGTGTCATCTTCTGTATCATCCTCTGTGTCATCCGCTGCTGTAACTTTACCTTTGTATCTTTGTAACTATTTAGTGAGTTGTTCCACATCATGTTTTGATTCAGCAAGTTCACGTTTGAGACTATCATTTTCCAAACATTTTTTCCTGTTGACCCATAGCGACTCTTGAAATTTTTCTTCAACAATTATAAGCATCTTCTTTGGATCAATGTCACCAACAGAGTCATCGCCATCACTGTAGTAAGTTAGAAAAACACGGCATGTTCCAGCACTGTGTTTAACACACTGCGTCTCTTTTTCAACGGGAATGACACGCAGCTTCTTACATCGTAGATCTTCATTCATCTCCAACTCAATGGTTTCTAAGTTCCCCATCAATTCATTAAGAGACATAGAATTGAGAGATTGTGTTTGTCTAATAACTTTGACATCCATAGAGTATATTTCTGGAAGAGAACGTAGAACTTTCAACACAAGTTTGTTTTATGTAATTGGTTCACCAAGCCTTTCAGCCTCATTTGCCAACTCTCTAACCCGCCCATGAAAATTTGTGATAGACATATCATCCTCCATCTTAAGATTTTTAATTTTGGACATCACGGTCTGAAGTTTGGAAGTCTTGACCATTGTAGTGCCTTCATGAGTAATAAGTAAAATATCCCAAGCTCTCTTTGCCTCTGAGCAGTTTGAGATAAGACGGAATTGATTTCTGTCAACCGCTCCGAAGATTGCATTCAAGGCTTGATCATTCGATTCCAAATCATCCTTTTCTTTCTTGCTAAACCTTTCATAAGGTTTCTGAATTAGCTCTCCATCTCCATTGGTCATAGTAGGAGCTGACCATCCAACCTCGATGCTTCTCCAAATACGTCCACCAAGAGACTTGAGAAAGGCTCTCATTCGACACTTCCAAAAGTATAATCATGGTTGCATAATAGTGGAGGTCTAAAAACATTAGCACCTTCTTGAATATCTCCCATGGTGATAGATCAAACAAGCTAATAACTTAATCTTGCCAGGCTCCAATACTAATTGTAGGTTCGTGGGGGTGCAGCGGAAATCACCAATTGAAAGCTATGCAAACAGATCAAACAACTATGCTGTAGAAAACATACTGCAGCACTATCACAGTAATAAATGATAGACAAAGTGCTACAACACCTTCTCTGTCACAAGCACACACGTAGAATATAAAGTAAAAACAGTAAGCAAGACACCAGAATTGTTCACGCAGTTCGGAGCAAATTCTCCTACGTCTGCTAGGCCCACGTCCGTGTAATAGCCCTTCCACTAAATCACCGTAAGAATTACACAATCAATCACAACAGAACCTTGTAATGTATTGATTTGTCTACTTACGAATGACTTGACGACAAACTCGGTTTGCGTCTATCTCCACGGCTTGTTACACCTTCTCAAAGATCTTCTTAAAGGACGTAGATTCCAATACACCTTCAAATAAAGATTCTCCTTGACCTACAAAAATATGCAAGTTGTTCCGAAGCTTATAAATCGAGATTGAACCGTTGGAATTCGATCTCCACCGTTCAGATTGAAGCCTAAAATTTCAGCACGATCGGACAAAGTTGGGTACTCCGATCATCGACAAAACCATGGCTGCGTTTTCTGCAAAAAATCAGCGGATATATGCAGATTGTAACTTCAATAACAGAAGATCTGTAACTCCGTTTGACGTGAAAATCTAACACGTTGATGCCCTATGTGTTGGGAACACTATCTGAAAATTTCAGCAATATTCAACGGTCAGATCTCCGGCGATGATCAAATCCGTGCGGGCTGTCCAAAAAATTTGCACTATCAAACTCTGCACCTTGTTTTTCTTTTTTTGGATTTGCTTCAGTTGTTTCGTATTTTTGGCACACCAAAACCCTAAGGGAGGGTGAAGATATTATATGGAATAGAATAGCCCTGTTAGAGTGTGCTTAGGATTCTCAACCATGGCCTCCTCCTTAAGAATTGTAAACCAAGTAGGATTAGAATCCAAGTAGGATTAGAATTCTCTCTTCAAGCTCTTTCCTCTTTCTCTTCCTTCACATGATAGGACTCTAAGTCTAAATAAAACATTTAAAATTATTCTAGGTAAATCTATTTCTTTGTCAAAAAATAATGCCAACACAATATGGAACTAACAGATGTGTATACAAAATGGATATGGCATGGGTTTACCAATTATTCAAAGATTTAAATGCATGTTTGCTAATCCAATCGATGCAGAAAATCTAATAGGGAATGCAGAATAACGTTGTTGTGATGGGAATCATTTTATTTACATAGGGGGGCCGAAAATAATGAGTTGGAAGGAGGAAGGAGATTGTGTTGATACACAACTCTACTTCCACAAATATAGGAGAACTCATCTCCTTTAACGATTGAGACTACACGCCATTTTTTAGCTTCTTCCCCTCTTCTTGGCCAAAATAAAAAAGGAAAATATACTTGATATTTTTCTTCATCATTCCAATTTATATTTCTATATTATACTAATATTCCAGGAAGAATTTACTAGCATAATTTCTTCTTAGAACACTGTTCGTTGTTCGTGTGGACGCGCTAGAGGTTGGATTCGTTTGTGACTAGTTCGTTGCACAAATCCCTTCACCTGCACCATCTGATCTGTTTTTCTACAAAAAAAGGTATTCTTCTCATCAATAATTAATAGTTTCGTACGATGATCTTGGGTGGTAACTACGATTGGATATAAAAATTTTGTTTCCCGCTGTGCTATCCATGCGTGGTTACCCAAAAAATTTTGTTTCCCGCTGTGCTATTCTTGACCGTTAAAATGAGTGAAAGATGTGTCTAAAAATATGGGAGTATATATGTATAATAACAAGCTCAATGTGTTTTTACAAAAATAAGAATAAAAATAAGGCTCTAACAAGCCAAAATACGTGAATGTTGGTTACACCCTAAGAGAGGGGTGAATGAGGGTATTTAAAAGTTTTGCGTAAAAACAAAAAACTTAGGCGCAAAAAGAATAACGAAAATAGAGTAAGAAAAGTAAAAATACGACACAATCGATTTTATAATGGCTCGGGAACTCTCTACTGTAGTACCTCGAGGCTCCTCCTCAAGGATTTAACCTCCACTAACTTGTTTGTCTTCACTAAGAAGACTCAAACGAGGTTTGGCAAACAACCCTTGCCAATAAGCAAATGAGATTTTACAAAAGCTATTTGTACCGCTTACAAACCAAAGATTTAAAGACTATCTTCAACCTTACACAATGAGGATTTAAAGGCTATCCACACATTTTACAAGACAATAGAAATGGTTGTTTCTTCTCTACCAAATAATAAACAATATGAGTTGGGTAGGAGAAGAATAAAGTATAAAATCAATAACAACAATAGCCTATAGTCATGATATAAAAAGAATGAATTGCAAATACCCTTGTGCGCGAGTGTATAAAAATGATGAAGGCTTTAAACTCGAAAGAGTAAGAAAAATGAGAACAAATCTTGAAGAAGCACTCAATAATATAGAAATAGGCTTTAGATTGAGTAGGGATGTTGGTATATTGAAAATGAGACTTGGAGGGGGGTTTATATAGGATTAGGGAAGCTAAAAAAGGGTAAGGAGCCTTTTTTTAACCGTTAAAGATTGATTTTGGGTTGATTTCAATTTAAAAATTCATATTGCTACCATGCTGTCAACGGTCACGGTAGGCTAGCCGGTAGCTGGATACCGTATGGTACCGTGCCCATGGGTACCGTGCCCACAGGTACCGTATACTCCAAAATTTCAGTGACTTTGTCGTTCGCTAGCTCAAAACAGTAGCTCCATCTGGTCCACTAGCTACCGGTGGTACCTAGTTACCCTATGCACGGTAGCAAGGTACCGTACCTCCTGAGTTACAGGTTACCTCCAACCAGTTTGTTGGCTACCGTCGGTACCTCAGTACCGTGTAAACGGTAGTCAGGTACCGTAAGGCCTGAAGCAATTTTTTCAAAACTTGATTTTTGTGTACCTTTTTCAAAATAAACCCAACTAAGAATATGTTTGACATTTTATAAATAATATTTTGAGTGGAAGGGCATAAGTACATCATCAACTATATCACTACCTTTACACAAGCGTTCTTAAGCCCGTAGGAGTACATCTCGGTGATGCTAATCAACTTAGAAGAGGTTTGGCATTTGGTTTCTTCCTGCACATGACGTTAGTAACAATGGAAGACTTATTTGGCACATCAAAATGGTTACGAGGTTCGACTTTCAAGGCCAACAATATGATGATTGAAAAACAAGAACAAGAACACACTTAGAATATGAAGATGGATGATTATGAGCTTGAGTTGATAATAAAAATGAATAATAATAATAATAATAATAATAATAATAATTTATAACAACAAGAATGAGAATGAGAATAATATAAAACCACACATAAATTTTTTTTAAAAACGTTTTTTAGATTTTTCAATTTTTTCTAGTTTTTTCAGTTTCTTTTAATTTTTTTTTCAGTTTTTCCAATTTCTTGCAGTTTTTTCAAGTTTCTTCCAGTTCCTACCAGTTCCTTCCAATGCTTCCAGTTCCTTCCAGTTTCTTCCACCTTCTTCCAGTTTCTTCCAACATCCAGTCCTAAAGAACAGGCCCTTAATATAATTAAAAGTGATGTAAAAGAAAATCAGCAATTTTGAGAAAATTCATGTTAAAACGATACCTAAGTCTCACCTTAATGATAGGGGTCCCGGACTAACGGTACTCAGGTCTTGGACTAAAGATAACTAGGTGCCTTGTCAGGCCAAAATTCTTTAACAGTAGTTATCTAGTAGCTATCTTAACGGGACCTCTTCATGTAGGGGGCTCCAGGTCGGTCGGTACCTAGGTTCTGGCTGAGAGTTGAGGGGTCTCGGACCACTATGTTGGGTTTTTCATTTTTGGCCAAATACTTTCCGATTTCGTTTAAAAGCTTTTGAATGTTTGGAAAAGATTATTAGAAGGTTTTAAAGATATCTTTTGAGTACATTGAGCTTGTGAATATATGCATATAAAATCATATTCTTGCATTGAATTTTACTATACCTATATTGTACACTAGTTTGATGTTCTAACTTCATTCTTGAAAACCATAATTTAATGATTTTGTGTTGTACCTAAAACACCTAAACAAACATTAGCTCATATATTTTTGTTAATATCAAAACATGAGAGTTAGCAAACCAACACTAACAACCTCAGCTCAGCGCCATGCTCAGCCATGAGTAGGTGCAAGTAACCTCAGCTTCATGCTCAGCCTCTGGGAGGTAGCCTCGGCCTCAAGCTCGACTTTGAGCTAGTGGCCTTGGCCTCGTGCGTGGCCTTGGGCAAGAGGCCTCAACCTAATGCTCACCCTCAGACAAAATCTCTTTTGCTATTGTGTGTTTAGTTCAAATATGTCCACTATATTTTGGAGATTATTGGCCATTAACCTCCAATGAAATTGATGGAATTCGAATGGAAACGCGTGAAACTTGCTTGATAGTGTTTTTGACATTTGATTTTCACCTTTAATTTTGACATTAATAAAGAAAAATAAATTAGGTAAGGAGGGGTTATATTGATACCCAATTTGAGAGTCATAACATGACTCGTCCAAATGAAACTTCTACGGTAGACCCCCACTCCAGTGCAAATTAAACCTACCCCTACCCCCTTCAATTTTACTCCCAAAATTAGTTGACTTTGGGTTAAAAAAAGTTTGATTGACCTGAACTCAGCTAATTTCAGGGTTGTATTTGAAAGAAGTAGAGATCAGAGGTGGGTTCCAATTGAGGTTGGTGGGACAGTTTATCCAGAGCAGGAATGATGATTTTTTATTCAATATGTAAAATAAACTGTTTCAAAAAGTAGAATTAATCTCAAAGACTCAAACACCTCTAATAACCTGGTTAGGAAAATTGTCAGGGGCTGTTTGGCAACTTCTGAATAGGTAAGTGCTGAACCAGTAAGAGGTCTGAACCATTAAGTGCTGAACCAGTAAGAGGTCTGAACCATTAAGAGCTAGTATATTGCTTTAACTATTCAAAAGCAAATGTCTGATCAATTCAGATAAGAGGTCTTAACCATTCAGACTCTGTATAATACTTAATCATTCAGAGGCAAATCTCTTAACCATTCAGACATCTGAACCATTAAGAGGCTGAAACAAACAGNTAAGTGCTGAACCAGTAAGAGGTCTGAACCATTAAGTGCTGAACCAGTAAGAGGTCTGAACCATTAAGAGCTAGTATATTGCTTTAACTATTCAAAAGCAAATGTCTGATCAATTCAGATAAGAGGTCTTAACCATTCAGACTCTGTATAATACTTAATCATTCAGAGGCAAATCTCTTAACCATTCAGACATCTGAACCATTAAGAGGCTGAAACAAACAGTCTGAATCATTAAGTGCTGAACCATTCAGACATCTGAACCATTAAGAGGCTGAAACAAACAGCCCCTCAGTTTTACTCTATATTTTTTTCCACCATTGACAACAACGGGAATACGGGATGTTGCGCGCGTGTCATCTTGGATTTTCGAAGCAAGTGGTCGGTCAACGTGACTACCAAGTCAAGGAAAATTAAGTAGAAGCGACATCACCGCGAAAATTAATCCCTTCATTTGGATTCAAATATAACATTAATGAAACATTATTTTTTACCAGCGAAAACAGTGGTCTATTGTTTAGACTTCATGTTACAAAGAATACTTCTCTCCACGCGTAATATACGGAGTAAATTATACACCTTTCATCCTAAAGTAAATCATTGATTAATGTGTAAAATTTTATGACTTTTAAAATTAAATGATTTTATATATAAATTTTAGTGTTCGGCCTAAAATATATTTTGGAGTTTGATTATTCAAAAATAGATGGAGTAGTATTGTAAAATGAAAAAAATAAAGTTCTTTGTACCCCCATTTTGTACACCGCAAGGCAGGGCCGGCTCAAGGGTGGGCCGAGCAGCCCTACTGGACCGGGCCCAATATTTTTAGGGGCACAAATTTTATCAATATTGTATAATACTCCTGGATTCGAACCTTGGTATACGGCTGGGGACAAGGGACACTTCATCCACTTGAGCTACTAATCCCATTGTTACATTGTTACCCAATAGGATATATAACATACTTGCGTTTAATAAAACTTTCAATTATTTAAAAAAAGAAACACAAGTAGAAAAATAACTTCTTTTTATGTTTTTTTTCTAAAAATTAATATTAATACTTATACCTATAAAAACTTTCATCAATAAAAATTAAGAAATTCTTATTAATTACTACCTTCGTCCCAGAGTATTTGTTCACTTTCATTTTTACACACCATCCAATATACTTCTTTAATCCATTTTATCTTGTAATTTGTATATAAAAAAATTATAGAAATTATATATTAATAATCTATATGTTAAAACAAATCAAACAAGATCACACATGACTATATTTAGGCTTACACTTTGAGAGAATTTGATGAGTCAAAGTACTTAGATAAACAGTTCCAAAAGTCAAAACTGGACGAATACTCCGGGACGGAGGGAGTATACTTTAATATATTAAAACTAATTTTGTCTTCTACTTTTCTTGTTTCAATCAACTAAATATAAGTATGAGGTGTTAGTTACATACAGATTACATAGTATTATCTAAAAACACATTACCTAGCTTTTAATTTTAAAAATAATTGTATTGCCTTTCTATTTTAGTATATATTTATTTGATATTCATTATTTATCTCTAATTGTAATAAATAATACAAATAGAAAATAGAAAGTGTGATGACATATGCAAAATGATATAAAAAAACTAGATGGAAGAATGAAAAAACACAAATTAAATTTCCTTATTTATTAAAAAAATCTAATAATATAATTTATTTTAATTATAATTGATCAAGCTATTGACCCCTGAGTCGACTAGTTCAACTATTTAACCCTTGACCCACTAGCTCGTCTGGATCGACATCCGGACTAATTTCCAGAACATTGATTTGGGGATATAAGTATATATAAACCCTTTACTATGATTTTGATTCACTCATTTTAGTAAATTATTATTACGTTAATTGTAATTCAAATATAATTTATTTACACACTTTAATTCGTTAAGTCATTAGGAATAAGACCTTTAGGCCTTTTTTCTGTCTCGGCCCAGGCCATGGAATTCTCGGGACCGGCCCTGCCGCAGGGATGCACCAACATTTTGTGTTGGTGTAATGCTATTTTTTGTTAACGGACTAACACTTTGTGTCAGTGCAAATTTTTCTTAACGCACCAACACTTTGTGTCAGTGTGAATCATTATAATGTTAGTGCATACATTTGCTGTACGAATGTAGTACAAATTTTGAGGTACATGTGGCATGCTCCAAATGAAAACGAGGGAACCAATATGCAAACGGAGGGGGTGGAATATTAAGAGTAGGAGCCATAAATTTTTCTAGAAGAATACTGTATAAGCCTCGAGTCCTAATATGACATTGAACTTAAAATCACATGAATGGCTGCCCCTTATTAAATGCTCCCTCTGTCTCCCTTATATCTTTTCATTAGTTATGTGTATTCATCCTCATATATCTTTTCATCACCTTTTCTAACAATTAAAATATCAAAAATACCTCTAGTTACTTTATTTATTACACCTCATCTACCTTATATATAATACACTCTATTCATTTTCATTAAAGATATTTTAGTAAACTTTTACTCCCTCCATCCCTTTAAGTCTTACCCGTTTTGACTTTTTAGAAAAATAAGGGGACCAATTTTTTGCTTTGACTTCCCCAATTTACCCCCCAACCCTAATCAAAGAGTAGACTTCCAATCAACTCATGAATAGTGTAAAGCATAATTTTATAGCAAGTGGAGTACTCATCACATTAAATACGGTAGGGCAATTATATCCCAAATCCACTAGTCGTACTGCCCATGTCTCAAACTACAAGGATTACATTCACCATCACCATACATTACATTCATTAAATGTGTTTAAATGGTGATTTTTTTGGGAAAATTTGATATTCCCTCCAAAACACCCCTCCAAAACCAAAAAAAAGAAAATTACAACTTCATTCAGGCACTGCATATTTAAATGAATGCATTGAATGCATTCATTTCACCTATCTTCTTCACTTTATTACCTTCATCTTCTTACTGGCCTGGTTGCTTTCAATGCCCCCTCCCGAGCAGCCTTCTTCACCTTTGTCTTTATCGACACATGACTCCTCATCGTTGGACCATCTACCCGCTGTTATAGAAGTCCCCTTCGACAACCTTTTCACCCCTGAAACAGAAACAGAAACAGAAGCACAGAGTAAAGGAGCTCAACTTAATCAAAAAAGAAAAAGAGTTGCTAATGTTTTACTAGAAAAGTCTAAGGATGGCAAACTTCAGCACGGTTTAATCAGCAAAGTTGCTGAGGAATTCAGCTTTACAAGGAAAACTGTGAGTAACATTTGGCAAATTGCTAAAGCACAATTGGAGTCTGGTCTACCTATTGATGTTCAATGCCATTGGAAAGGAAGTTGTGGCAGAAAAAGGGTCCCTGTAGACATGGAAAAAATGGTAGTTATCCCGCTTTCTAGACACAAGAACATGCATGCACTTAGCTTTTCTATGGAGGTTTTAAAATCCACAGTTCACAGATAGCTAAATCGCAAAAATATAAGGAGACATTCAAGTGCGATAAAGCCATACTTATGTGAGTCAGGTAAGCAAAAAAGACTCAAATTCTGTCTTGACCATATATCTCCTCAATCACTCCCCATTAGCCCAACTTTTCATGATTTTTATGATCACATTCACATTGATGAAAAATGGTTTGAAATCACCAAAAAAACACAACATTCTATGCTCTTCCAGAGGAACCTGACCCCTACAGAACCACTCAAAGCAAAAGCTTCATACCAAAGATCATGTTCCTGGCTGCAGTAGGCAGGCCAAGGTATGGGGAGGGTGGAGATTTGTTATGGGATGGGAAAATAGGCATTTTCCCATTCACTTTTGAAGAGGCAGCTCAAAGGTCTAGTAAAAACAGGCCTGCAGGGACATTGGAAACTAAGGCTGAACCAACTGTGAATAGAGATGTTATGAAGAGAATGTTACTGACTAAATTGATACCTGCAATTAAGCAGAAATGGCCTGGGTCATCAAGGGATATTATTATCCAACAAGATAATGCTAAGCCTCATGTGGATGGCAATGACCTTGAAATTGTTGCAGCTGCTCAAGAAGGGGACTGGAACATTCAACTGAAATTCCAGCCCCCCAACAGCCCTGATCTAAATGTACTTGATCTAGGATTTTTTAGATCCATTGACTGAGTACAAGACCAAACAGCTCCTAGGTCATTGACAGACTTGGTTAATTCTGTTACAACCTTTGAAAACTATCACATGACAAACTAAACAATGTCTTCTTAACGGGTAACATGTAAATTATTATTACCCAAATTAGAAAGGTACATCCAGTTTTCGTGCCAACCACAACATGGTTACAAGAACAAAACACAAAACCACAAAGATACATCAACACACACTCAAACACGAATCACAAATAAAAAACAATAGGCAACACACTGCCACATGGCACGCATGCCTCTAACAAAAGAAAATAAGCCACATTATGCAATCCTGTCTTCATCTTCTCACATGTCCAAAGTGCATTGTCAAAAAGAATGAAAGGTAGAGCTTGTGTTCCCGCCCCAAGACACAGGCCAACACAAACTCTACAGCAAATCCATCTGAGTCCACAACATATTTCCGGAGGGTTGTACAGTCGAGTCCAAAGCAAGTCCAAAGAGCTCCATGGCCGGGCATGCTCCATTGAATCCACACTACGATCAACATCCCCTATCTGTTGTCCTAGTGAAACTCGGACGAAGAGGGCTATGTTCTGAGTTCACGATGTCATCCACCCTCGTCAAGGAAGACAACAAAGTGCCAAGATCACCAGAGAAAACTCTGACCATTCAAGACGGAATAAAAATGATTGGCCCCACAAGAAGAGAGCAAGAACCAGCGAGATCCTCCATCATGCATACCAAAACTACCCCATCATCAACAGCGTCACTCAAGCGAAAGCCGTGGACACCAAAAATAGGCATGATCCAAAAGCAAGGACCATGAAGTTGCCCCTCTAAGTAACAATGCCACGGTAAGGGGGACCCTCAGGCTCCAAGAACTCTTGACTAAGGAACACCAACCTTCCTTCGCAACTTCTCCCAAAACACAAATCAATTATAGTCATCGGGTCAAGTATACAGTCGCTCCAGCAGACCCAGTCACACCCAAAGCACAATCAAGACACAAGGGTACTACAGCCAAATATGTCCCAAAACAGCCAAAGAAAGTATTGTAGCAGCCAAGAATCTGGCAGGAAATGCAGCAACACGCACACTCCCAGGTAGTGTCTTTCAAGAGGAGGTGAGAACCAGTCCCCTAGGTCACGCGCAGAGAATCCAAAACAGTAGCAGCAATTGCAAATTTCAGGGCCATGTCATCCATAAAATAACAATTCACCAAGCTTCAACATACTGCCCACGCAGATTATGAGGCAAAACCAGTGGCATGGAAGAGTAGAAAGCCCTTCCAGCAAGCCCAGGCATACCCAAGGCACAACTAGTGCTACTATTTCCCTCCCCTCATCAGTTTCCAAGACAGACCACACCTGCCAAGTCATCAATCAGTCCTTACCTCATGCAAATGAAGTAAGGTATGATAAATATGAGTCTTCAGGAGGTTGAGGGAAGGGGTGGGATGTTCACCTAGACTGGTCAATCAAACCTGGGCAGTATTCACTACAACAGCAAGGAGAATGAGGAAAAAAACAGACCATGCCACAAAGCCACTGCCAAACGAACCAAGAACCACAATTGCAAGCAAACAGCAGAGCAAATTCCTGTTAACTCATTCTTCTTAACTCTAGAAGGGGTGATGGGTGAGATACTCATTCACAATGGAGGAAACCAATTCAAAATTCCTCATATGGCAAAAAGTAAGTTGACCAGACAAGGAATACTACCACAGAATTTGAGAGTAAGCACAGAAGTGTATGAGAATGCACAAAAGTTCTTAGAGGAACATATGTAAGTACTTAATGATTAAGTACTTTTTTGTTATGTGTGCAAAGATGGCCAAGGAAAGGTACAATACCTATATGTACTTCCAAGTGAACCTTTTGCACATTCTTTTTGTAAAACCCTAATCCGTCTAGGTCTGCAGCCCTATTCGGACTAAAGTATTTAACTTGGTAATCGTAAAAATTTAAAATTTTTCAAACAACTTTATTAACCCCAATAATTTTTCATAACATATACAATACAGAGTATTCAACAATATTACGGAAGCGAATTTAATATTGACATATCATAAATCATTTCAAACTTGTCACATCCATCCCGACAATATCGCCCCATCTGCTGCCAGGATCACAGTGTTCTTTCTATTTTACCTGCGTGTAGCAAATAAAACACACTACACGCTCAGCGATAAAGCTAAGTAAGCATATCCAATGCGTCAAACATCCATATGAACTAAATCTAAATTCATAATCAAATCATTTGATATCATGCACACAATGTTCATTTTAAACATTCACAGTTTTGGTATTGTTCAGTTCATATCAACACATTTTATTCAATTCAGATACAATTTTAATAATGCTCTTAAATTATTCTTAATCTAAGGTCAGATCATAACAACGCTCTTAGCTATTCTTATTCTAAGGCCAAATCATATTTTCCATAACCACATTCTTAAAAGGCAATTATTAATCTGACACTTAAACTATCATTAGTTTAAGGCAATTGATTTCGGACACTTAATTGTAGTCAGTTAAGGCAATCAGACACTTAAACTATCATTAATTTAAGGCAACTGATTTCAGACACTTAACTGTAGTCAGTTAAGGAAACAACAATATAGCGAATGATCAACATTGGATCAGGCATTCCCAAACGAGTAATCCTCTAGCTTGGTCTACGAATCCCGTTTATGCATTTTTATGTAATTCATCAACTATTTATGTTTTCATAAGTTCATCCTAAGATCTATTCTAGAGGTCTTCTAGATAGTCTTAACATCAATTAGCTAATAGGCATATCTTAAAGTCTTCTAGATATCCTTAACAATACACATCATTTTCTTGTTGATCAATTTATTCATTTTGAATTATGGTTCAATAATTCATAATCATAATTTAGTTCAAGATAGTCAAACAACATATCTACTCATAATTTCATCTTTACGGTTCTTTCGTTCAATTCCATACATTTTTATTTATCATAATAAAATCATGATTGTATGTAGTCATACTTACTTGGGTCGTCCATTTGATCATCATATACAATATTTATTATCAATGATATTCCATTATCCATTATTATAACCATTTATTCAGGATATTATCAAGGTTTGATTGTAATAGTCAAAATAACATTTATTAACTAATAGCGGCCTAGTTTTGAGTGTTAACACCCGTACTTACCGTCATGCATCACATAATGTTTTATATGTCAAAAACATCATTTTTATTTTACAAAATCATATTTATATTGTTCATAATTAATTGGTATCAAAAATAGGATTTTTGGGGCTCAAAATAACATTTTTCGTGGTTGACTGAGTTCAAAACGGTCGACCGTTTCAGGTGACGGTCGACCGTCGTTGCCTCCGTTATACTGAAGCTACTGGTGCGGTAACGGTCGACCGTGGTGATGGTACGGTCGACCGTTGCTGCGTAACAGCAACAGTACTTCGTCTTCAACCTCAGATCAGATTTTCGAAAAAAATCATTTCTAGCCACCAAACTTCAATTAAACTATATAGAAATGTTCTCCAATGTTCATAGATCATTTAATCACCATTAATTCGAAGTTTTAACAACAATTTCAAGGTTTATGATTCTTGATTCTTCAAGCATGTCAAACACCAAACTCAACCAAACGACCGTTTATGAATGTAGAAACAATCTATATGAACATTCTAGTCACTAGATATATCTACGGGCTTACCTCAAAGCTAAATGAAGGTTTTGGAAATTTTCCGGCGAAACTTCTGGCGACGATAACTCTTAGCTCCGGCGATTCCACACCAAATTGACAGCACCACAACACTCCTTACACTTAAGGCTAACTCTTAGAAGAAATCTGAGGGAGAATGGTGAAGAAATGAGGAAGAGTTGGTCCTCCATTTATAGTGAAGAAGAAGGGGAAAAACTCCAAGTTAGAGTCATTTGCGGATTCGCGATCGGCGTAGTGCGCCTAGCGACGATTCCCAATTTTTTTTACGCAAGTCCCTGATTGGGACCAAATTTGGTTCCAGCCGGGGTACACTTTTTGGTCCAACTTTCTCCAAATTAAGATCCGATTGTACTGTTGGGATCAGACAGTCAAACTCTATACAATGATATAACTTTTATATTTATTTGAAATACTTTTTCTGACAGCATATTTTTGGGTGTTGACTTTGATAGAGTCAAAATTGAATTAATTGATATACAATTAACATTACTTTCATATTCAATCAATATTATTAAATTTAGATATTTATTTCAATAAATCATTTTACAAAATCCATATCTTTGACCACTTCTCATTTTTATGCAAATTACATATTTATAATGCCATAACTGAAAATATGTACATCAGATTGATTCATAAAATATACCGTTGGATTCATCTCTTCGAGACATATCCATAAAAGTCAATCTTAACAAAAATCATTGACTCCAAAAATTTCTTCATTTTTGGTCAAACATAGAAATAATGCTTTGTTGAGTCAAAATATTGTTTCTAAAATATTTTTATAATAGAATAACTTTTAGGCCATGTTTTGGGGTGTTACATTTCTTCCCCCCTTAAAGGAATTTCGTCCTTGAAATTCTTCTAAGGTCCACAATCAACATTTGTTGTATTCATAATTAATCGTGACAATGTCATGTTCGCATGGTTATGTTTTATCTTATAGATACGTATTCTCAAATCGTTGAAGTTACCAAACTCGTTCAATATTCGAGAGATTAACAAACTTCGATTAAGCAAGACACACACTGATCCTTTCAAAAGTTTCCTTCAAAGTGTGTAGTATTGTATACTTGACATATTTGCACATAGCTTCGTTCAGTGGCGAGTCTCGTTTGCACGTCATTGCTCAACAGAATTTCTTTTCTTGATTGAAAAGTTTTTCAATATCCTTTGATAGGCATAGTCAGAAATTGAGAGGTTATTTCAACTCATACGTTGTAACGTAATCTTTCAAATTACTCAAGAGGTTGTTGTCTTAGAGCAATAGCCATTTTTTACTTTTTGTCTCGAATTTGAACGTATTTCATGGCAGCGAATCTAACTGTTCATGAGTCTCAATATGTCATATCGTCAGCAGATTGTAGTATTGGCGAGTGTGTCATTGTCAATAAGTAAATCAAAGCGAATCTACTTTTCTATACGTATTTCGGCTGATGATAATTACCTTTTCCTCAAAGGTCGGGTTTTCCGAGTATATATAAATATCACGATTGTTGAAGGAGAATCTCACATTTTCATATCATGGAAGGGACTTCTAGAACTCTTCCTTATACCATAAATTCGTTGGTCTACTTGGTAGTCATTCTCTTGGTAAAAATCTAAAGTTTATGGCTTCGGCGGTGGATTTATGAAGGGAATTGGTAAGGCGAAAAATTAGACTTACCTATGGAGGAGGCAATGTTGGCCTTCAAAGAGCTGTTGCTTCAACAGTCTATACCAATGATGGTATAGTTAGAGGCTTCATACCAGGGTACATGGCAGCACGACAGGTCTACGGACCTACGTGTGGTGCAGAATACACAGTTTCTAGCAATTACTATAAGTATTTCGAGATGAATCATGTTGTGGAGACCTTCATCATACTTCCTGGAGGGATTGATACTATGGAAGGTTTGTTCACTTTGATCTCATGGGCATCTGAAGGGTTGCACAGTAAACCCATTGGTCTCTTGAATATTGACGGTTATTTTAATAACCTAATCAAATTTCTAGATGACGCGGTGAGGCAGAACTTCATGGCTTCCCGTCAGAGGAAACTTTTCATCTCTTCTTTCTTTATTGATGAGCTCTTAGACAAACTAGCGTTTGCTAAAGCTTTTCCAGGTCCTGGGGCTAGTTATGATGACTTCATAAATCCTGGGGCATTGGACTTAGAGTTGCATTTGTAATATTATTTTATGTAATTTCAGTTGAATTTATGTTGGAATAATATTGTCCATGAACACTATGAGTTAACCATAAATATTATTCTAAGCTGCATGGCCAGTGCAAGTCAGAAAAATATCTATTTTCAACATCAGAATGCATCATGTAAATATCAAACATTTTCAAAAGATGGGTCCAATGAAAGATTTCATTATACAATGGTTTCAACATACGTAGGTTCAAGAAAATACGAATATTCTTGACATACAAATCGAAAGATAATTTCTTGTTTACATAAGGTTTCTACATTATTTAATATATCCTCGAGCCCTTATAGAACTTTAGGATCTTCACAGAGTATCATCCTTGGGTTGGATTCTTTGAATTGTTTCGTGTTTTAGAACGTTGACTTGTTCCTGAGCGAATAGGTTGATTTTGGACAGAAGTAACTGAATATGATTCAGGGTTAAAGGGACATTCTCGTCGGAAATGTCTAGGTTCACCACAAATTAGACATAATCCTTGTGCAAGCCAGCAATCTCCCGGTTGGTGTCTTTTACAAACGTTACACTTTGGATGTTTCCATACCCTCATTTTGTTCATGGATGATGTCGATTGAATTACCAATGATTTTCCCTTTTTCGAGTGTATGGCACTATCGATTTCTTGCAGGGGTCTCTTACTACTTGAATTTGGTCGTTCATTTGGATTGACACTCTCAGTATTCAGACTTTCATAGTAATCACTTAGATCTTTTTCGGATTTGGAGATTAGGTCATATGCTTCAATGAAATCCACAGTTTGAATAGTAGATACGTGCGGCCTGAGATCAGGTCGAAGTCTTTTGCAAAACTCCTCAATGCGGTCAGCCGTTGTACTCACTAGTGTGGGTGCAAATTGAGCGAGATGGACAAATCTCTGTCGGTATTCAGGGAGTGTCATATCTCCTTGCTTTAATTCGATAAATTCAGCACGCTTCTCTTCACGGAATCGAGCTGGTATATATTCCTTCTTGAACGCCCAATCGAAGAATTCCCAAGTTCAAGGTTTGGGTGTGTTTGGATTTTTGTCAGTGCGTTTCCACCATTCATAGGCTTCCTTACGGAGCAATTGAGATGCAAATTTTGGATGATCAACAATAGGTATGTTCAAATTTTGTAGTACACGAGCGGTCTGCTCGATCCATTCAAGAGCAATTTGGGGTTCGGCAATTCGATCTCCCAAAAACTCCTCAGCACCATTATCTTTCATGGTTTTGAAAGTGATCAAACGAGGCGGTGGTGGAGGTGGTTGAAACATAGGGGCATTGGTCATTTGTTGCAAGAAGTTTACCATTAAGGTAGGTCGCATAGAGTCAGGTTGACCTCCAATATTTTGATCGTTTTGGGGAACATGTTGTGAGTTCACTTGTTCAGTTTGAATAGGAGGTGTGAAACTGGATGTTTCGATGTGAACATTTTCGTGCCCATTGTTCAGCACTTGGTTACTTTGATTGTGAGAAGTTTCTTGACTCATTCTACAATAACAGAAATTCCTTCGTTAGAATTCTTGGCTTGCATAGACGAGTTGACAACCGATATTTATTCTATCAGACTACATCGATGTTTAAGTCACTAATCGTGTCATAACAATGCATCACTTCATTCAACAAGATTGAGCCATCCATAACTTCTAACAAGTAGGTTCTTTGAATTTGACCGAATAAATCGTCAATTCATAGTAAAGGGTAGCAATTCTTGATCGTCAGTTTGTCTGTTTTAACAGAGATGTGATAGTATCTTTGACCGTAAGTCAACCTTAGAGAGCACAATGGATTCTCTAAGCTGATCAAATAAGTCATAGATACGAGATAAGGATAACGTCAATTTCCTTGTACAATATTTCAACAAAGTTTTGCAAGGAATTGTTGCCGAACGAACGATTTCGATTCGTATAATATAATCACATATTTGCATCATAATGAGTTAGACATCAGAATGGGATACTTTTAGACAATAGCGTTTATTGATTCTAAACGTTCGTGTTTAAATCAGCAATCCGATCGTCTACAGTCCACATGAGGATCTTTGACAGCAGCTTCGCGGATGTTATTCAACATTAAACGTTTATTCATAGTCGTCTCACTTCTATGCGACGTTGCGAGGCAGATCAGTTTCGTCATTCGCGATGTGATAAGTACGTTGATAACGTATCATATTTTTTTTTATTCTTTCGTCTCTTCAATGAGTACGAAAAATCTACTTGAGTCTATGCTCGATATAATTTCAGTACTAACAATTGTTATCTAATGAGAATTTTAACAAAGTCAATATTTATCTAATAAATTCTCATACCTTTCCTAAAGCAGAGGGATGAGAGAGTCGTGGATGTGACCAACATTTTTTTAAAATCAAATTTTGATCCAAAGATCAGTTTTAAAACCATTTGCTCCGATACCAAATTGTAACAACCTAATCCGTCCAGGTCTGCAGACCTGGACGGATTAGGGTGTTACACTTTTTGCTTTTTGTGGGCCTAGAATGCCATTTTTTGCTTTTTGTAAAAGTATATCATATTCTGATCAAGTGTAGCATACAATAGGGACTGCACATTTTTTGCTTTTTGTAAAAGTATATCATGAAGTGTATCAAGTGTAGCAATGTTTTATTGGAATGAAGTGTATCAAGTGTAGCAAATGTATCAGACAGAGGCAACAAATAGAATCAGACAGAGGCAAGTGTTCAAGTGTAGGAAATGAACCAGAGAATCAGACAAAGGCAACACAATCAAGTGTAGGACCTGCCCTAAGCATTGTTCTTTAGAAAATATTTTAGGAATCAAGTGTAGTGAATGAACCAGAGAAACAGACAGAGGCAACACAATCAAGTGTAGGACCTGCCCTAAGCATTGTTCTTTAGAAATTATTTTAGGAATCAAGTGTAGTAAATGAACCAGAGAATCAGACAGAAGCAAGATATCAAATCAAGTCCATGTTTAGTGTAAAGCAAAATATTATAACAAGTGGAGTACTCATCTCATTTTATACAGCAGGGGTACTCATTCAAAATCAACTGCCCATATGTTTCAAACAGGAATTACCTTCACCCAATTCACCATCAAACCCCAAATTTTCACCACCAAGCCCCTCTCACAGAACAAAAAATATGGTAGACCAGACCAATACAGTGTTGTAAGTCTCCAATCCATAGGGGGTGACATTACAATATAGCTAAACCCAAAAAAAGCTCACAGACTTCCAATCATTCACACAAAGTTTGTTTGCATCATAAGTTTGCCAATAAACATTATACGGAGTATATAATGGGACATGCAAATACTAATCGTATGTGAATCTAAAGAGGAAGAACATAATACTCTGTCTGAAACGCAGTGCTTTAGCCTCAGATCATCTCCATAGGGCTCAGCGAAAATCATTTCTGTATCAGACATCTCCAAGATCTGGGCAGAAGTTACTAATTCCTCATCTTCCCCATCAGATTCGACACTGCCTCCTTCATCCTCAGACGGAAAAAAGTCACCCCCCAAATATTTTTTCCGATACCACCACGTCGGATCTGTATCATCCGTGCCAGATGCGCTATCACCAGAGTCGTATTTAGGTATCAGTGATTTTTTAGATTTAGGAGTTGGCTGGGGAGATGCCCTTTCATCTTCGCTATCACTTAAAAGCTTGAAGGAGGGCATGGTAGGGTCGCGACCCACCATTTTTGGTGAATTCTTATGGGAAGGAGGTATGGAAGATATAGATCTGATGATTGAGGGTGTCGGCGGCAATGGGGAAGGGGAACAACCACAGAGAGACGGATAGAGGAGAGAGGATGAATGGATGAGGCAATGGGTAGGTTAGAGTTCGGTGGGTGGGGTAAGAGGGTGGGGGTAGAAATTAGGTTTAAGGGTAGGAATGTCTTTTTTAAGTAAATGTGTAAATGTTTATGGGACAAAAATTTTATGAAAGGGGTAAATCTTTTTGGGACGGGGGAGTAATTTTTATCAACTCTTTTTAAGAATAATAAAAAGTCAAAACGAGAAGATCTTAGATGAACGGAGGAACTATTTATAAAAAAATGTTGCGAGTGAATTTCTTTTCTTAAATAAAAGTAATAAGTGAAGTTTACTTTGAGATAGGTGAATAAACATGTGATGTTTGTTTTATTTTATTTTAGACGGAGGTTAGGTTCAATATTTTGTTTTATGGACTTACGGATTACTCCTTATGACTTTTGAGTTTTGACCATGGAATATTTCATTTTATGTTCGAAACCGTTTATGTTCAACCCAAAGGAATTATCCTATTACAGTCTCACATGAACTCACGTGGAGAAAAAAAATAGCCTGTCCCTCGCAAGTTATAACGTGTCTCAAAATAATTTACTTTATTATTCCATCCGTCCCTAAATATTTGTCAAACTTGTATTCACGAGATAAAATATTAAATTTTTTTTAATTTATTTTATTTACATATTGGTATAGAAATAAAAAATAAAATTTACATATCAAAAAACTACATGAAAAGTTCTTCGAAATAAGAGGTGTCAAGAATATTTTATTTTATCAAATAACCAATGAAAACGTAGAAATAAACAAAAGTTCCCGCGACTCCTAAAAAAAGCAAGTGTGACAAATATTTTGGGACGGAGGAAGTATTGTAGTTTCTCAAAAACTTTTGTCCTATTTTTTAGAAATTTTGAGTTAGTTTTTAATTATTTTGTTTTTTTTTATTTTTATGTCAATTTGTAAGTAAATCATTTTAATAGTTACATAATTTTACACGTTTAACAGAGAATGTAATCCATTTAGGTACACATTGAGTATCAATCCTAACTAATTATAATGCTTCATCCGTCCCCAAAAAATCACACTATTCGAACAACGTACATAATCTCATGACTTTTAAATTTATTTTATTTACAAATTGTTACAAAAATAAATATTATATTTTACATATTAAAAAACTATGTCAAAAATTCTATAAAAACAAATGATGATAATAATATTTTATCTTATCAAATTATTAATACGAACATACAAGAAAATAAAAATTATCAAGGGACCACAATAGTTGATGGTGTAAATATAGCTGGGTAGGTTGACCGGATCTGACCTGGACACAGACTCTACTCGTAGTAAATACACACAATCAGAACACAAAGTATGACCTATGCTGGGTAAAACTCCTCAGTTCGAATTATATTTCTTACTCTGTCTCAAGAGTGTACTTTAGTGAAAGAAAAATGTGATCCTCTACTCTATCCATAATCAACATATATATAGAGGAGGATATGTGACCTTCCCCTGTTCACCCATGGACAAAATAGGAAGCTCGTGGGAAGGTCATTGTACATAAAGGAATTACTATTCAATCATGGACTTGTCATGAATACAACCAAAACACACTGTTCAATTAATGACTTTAAGAGGATATCTTCATCCAATCAACCATGACAAATATTCCTTCTACTGCTTGCCTCGTGAAGGTTGAGTGGCGGGGTGGTCTCTTGATCTTTGATGTGGATCGCCATGCTTAGGAGATTGGACAAATGTTAGCCAAGTAGAATGATATGACCGGTACGGTCACCTTTTCTCAAAGGTTACCCGGTCATTTCCTGAGCTCAAGACTACTTCTTAGTCTTTCGCAACATCCTTCGCAACATTAAGTGACATTTTGGCTATCGCCCAAAATGTGACCGGTCAATTTTCCTGGAAAGTGACCGGCCAACTTTGGGGAAAGTGACCTGTCAACTTTTTGACCTGTCCCTTTCGGAAATTCGGGCCGGGTATAAGGATATACCCATCAAGAAGTCCTACACTTACCGGCCTTGTGAGGAAATCATCAAGGGCGGGAAGTATACTTCTTTTTGACCTGTAACTTTTTCAGCCATCAAACCTTTCCTTTGACCTATCCCTTTTTGGAAACATAAGTCTTCCTCTCGGACCTGTCACTTTTAAAATCATCAAGTCTTCCTCTCAGACCTATCACTTTTGAAATCATCAAGTCTTCCTCTCGGACCTATCACTTTTGAAATTATCAAGCCTTCCTCTCGGACATGTCACTTTTGAAATCATCAATTCTTCCTCTCGGACCTGTCACTTTGGAAATCATCAAGCCTTCCTCTCGGACCTGTTACTTTTGAAATCATCAAGTCTTCCTCTCGGACCTGTCACTTTTGAAATCATCAAGTCTTCCTCTCAGACCTATCACTTTTGAAATCATCAAGTCTTCCTCTCGGACCTGTCACTTTTGAAATTATCAAGCCTTCCTCTCGGACCTGTCACTTTTGAAAACATCAAGTCTTCCTCTCGGACCTGTCACTTTTGAATTATTGGGAAATCTAAATGTCAACTCTAAATAATTAACCAGTCTACTTTTCATTTTTTTTTCTCTGGACTTCTGCCATGTAAGTCCTCCTAGAGTACCCGGTCAAGTGCCCGGTGCATACCCCTCCAAAAGCACATCCGGAGTAAGGGGGTTAAATCACCCGGTCATATGATGCAAATCTCAAATGATAACTGGGTTGAGACACCCAAGGTTCTGGTCCAGGTCCCTGACAAAGAGTTTGGCCACACTTCTTCCCAGCCCGTCCCAAGAGTGGAAGGGTTCACATAAGAGTTCTCGAGAGGGTTCTAGGAAAAAGAAGGTCGGCCCTCTTCCGATGGAAGGGTCACCAATTAAGGAGACCTTCATGGTCCGGTCTCATTCCTTTGAGCCTAGTTGAACTTCTTGAATGTGTATGATTTCCTCTTGAAAATGTCCGGGTCATGAAATGATATGGTTTCCCCCTTTGTTTGTTGAAATGTTGACAACGTGCCTGGTTGAAGTGAATTTTGAAAATGTCTTGGTTGAAATGTATAGGTTGAATGCTTCAGGGCTTATAAAATCACCCGGTCTACTTTGCTTACCTCAAATTTCTTCCTCTGTAGGATGTGTCCAGGTTGAAATGTGGGTTGAAATTCTTCTTGGCTTATTCTTCAATCGGTTTGCTTCAATCAGTTTGCTTCCAGATGGTTTGGCCACAATGTGTTACCGGCTTGGTGAAGTAAGTTGGCTAACCTTGCCCAAACTCCTGTCCAAGTGCCCAGTCAAATTTTGACCGGTCAATTCCAAGATTTTCCCAAACTTTTCTGATTTCTTCAAATGCAGCATTTTGAAATTTGACCGGTCAATTCTCTCAAAATTGACCGGTCAACTTTGAAAATCTCCCCTTCGCCTCTATTTTGCCAAATCAGAACACTTTAAAATTTGACTGGTCAACTTTTTGACCATGCCTCTTTTTATTTTTATCCATCTGGTCTGTATGTTATGTTCAACACCGACCTCGATCGAGTTTTGAACAAATATCTCGAAACAGCTTTTACTATAAGTCTTAACATCAAGACCTGACTCGTCTTAGGAGATTTTGAGCATGTCCTATGATCGCGAACCCTCTCCAAGGTCTAGCCTTCTTCCTGACAACACCCTTCTTCCAGGGCCCTCTTCTGGCTTTTAAGTCTTTTAATGTGCCATCCTCTAATTATTAGGTTGACCTAACCAACCTAATCTTTCCACATGAGGGTATGCCGGTGAGAACCAGCCCTCATCCAATCCTGCACGTCCATATTTTATGTGTTCCGAAATTCTAGTCTTCCCTAGAAATTCTGATCCACAAAGGATGGCTCATACAAGACGGTAATATTATTTTTTTCTCTTTTGGCATCTTTTCTAACCCTTCCCAACCAAAAAGTCGGTAGGGATCCATGTAAGTATGGATGCGAATCCTCTTCTGGATCTAGCCTGTCTCAAGGCGATACCTCAACATCAAGGCCCCTATCTCAAGGGCTTTTTTTCTTTTTCTTTTCTTTTTTTCTATCAGCCCATGCAATCGTCCAGGTCCTAGACATCAAGACTGATCCGTCTAAAGAAAGCTTAGTAATCTTGACCACATTTTGTCCATACTCTCTTCTTTCCCTGATCCTATTCATGTGGGTGGATTCTAGTACTCGCTTATGGGTCTTCCTCAAGCCCCGTAACGAATACTTCACCCAATTCCCCTTTCAAGGTCATCTCCCTGAGCACGACCCTCACATTTCGGAAATCTGTCGTGTTGTGAGATTCTGACTGGTGCTAGGTACACCATTTTTCCCGTCCAGACCCTATTTGGTTGATCTCCCTTCTTGTCCCGTATTTGGTGCACTATCCCGTCGTAAGTGACCTTTGGCCTGGAACCTCCCGCCTGGTCGTCTTTCCTTGCTTTCTCTGATTTGGCTTTTGTGTAGCCTTCTTCCAGTTCTCTTTTGCTCCGATTCAGGTTTTCTGCTTCGGCATACTCCCTTGCCGTATTGTATGCTTCCTGGTAAGAGGAAGCAGGCCTTCTGCAGAACTCGGTATAAAGGTCACCCGACCGGAAGGCGTTCATAAGGAGCGACATTTCTATTTTGTCGTCCATCTCTTCTACTTTGTCTACCTCATCCCTCCATCGGGTGAGGAATTGAGGCAACGACTCCTTTTCCCTCTGCCCTACCATGTTAAGGTAGGTGCACTTCTTCCTCTTGATGCAATTGTCCCAGTATTTTTGCGGAAAATCTCTGCCAGTCTCTCAAAGGACTTGATTTTGCCATGGGGAAGGTTATTGAAACATTCCACTGGTCTTCCTCTAAGAGATGAGAAGAAGAGTAAATGCTTACGAGATTGGACAAATGTTAGCCAAGTAGAATGATATGACCGGTCACCTTTCCTCAAAGGTTACCCGGTCATTACCTGAGCTCAGGACTACTTCTTGGTCTTTCGCAGCATCCTTCGTAACATTAAGTGACATTTTGGCTATCGCCTAAAATGTGACCGGTCACTTTTCCTAGAATGTGACCGGTCACTTTTCCTAGAAAGTGACCGGTCAACTTTCGACCCGTCTTTTTTGAAGAGTTTGCCTCATTTTGTAATTGGGGAAAGTGACCGGTCAACTTTTTGACCTGTCCCTTTCGGAAATTCGGGCCGGGTATAAGGATTTACCCATCAATAGTAATACTTTAATTCTTTTTAGAAGAGAGGAGTAATTGATGCATTCATTTTAATTGAATTTGTTAAAATAATTCTACAAAGTTTTAAAGTAAATATTAATTATTAAATTTTAAAAAAAGTATGTAATATAAGAAAAGAAAAAATAAAATTTACGCATGCTTGAATAGCTAGTCTTTAAGATATTAGTTAGAAAACGAAGATGTATATAAGTATATATTCTCTATGTCGAAACTAAGTTCATTTTCCTTTTTTCACTCCTAAAATAAACATTACAGGTTTGAATATTCCCTTGGTCCCTTAAACTCTTTATTCTTTCTTTTTTCTTGTCCCACAAACTCATCCGTCTTTCTTTTTTCTATCCTTATCACAGCATATTTTTTTACTAATAATTTATCCATCACATCTTATTTTTACTCATCACAACAAAGGTACTGTATTTTCGGAAAATCAACACAGTCACCAGACCAGTGATTCAAAGGCCACAGAAGCAGCAACTTCTAAGTGCAATAAACCTAACCATACAATCAGTTGGGCATTCCACAAAGGTGGAAAATTCGCACAAGCAAATTCCCACAATGGTACACCAATCTGGGTAGTCCGCAAAGGCAGCAAAACCACTTGCAAAGTAATGTAGCCACAACAACGGGTCCAAAATAATACAGTTAAAACATTCATGAATTGTCCACAAGACATGAATCAGTTGGGTAGGCCACAAAATCCAGCACCATACATTCAAAGCAAAAAAAAGATGTTTGTTAATTCGTATTTTCCATAACAGCATCATGAACACCTCCAAAAACATAGATTGGGTTAAGTCATACATACTACCCCTTTTCGATTCAACGACAACAATCATCAGACCACAATCAACAATCACACAAATAAATCACATAAATCAACCACGATAACAATTATAAACGGAATTTCAAACCTAGATGGTAAGAGAGAGAACTTGACCCAAACGGAGGGTAGACGGCGTCATACACAGTCCGGTATTGCTGCCCAAGCAAGTCCGTCACTGCCCAAGCCCGCCCGGATATGTCATTGTTGTTGCTCGATCTCATCCTCACTGTCCATGGTCAAAATTCACTGCCCGAATCTCACCTTCATGGCCCGGAGGTCGCCGGAGTTGCTGGGTGACCACGGTTGTCAGTTCGCCGGAGAGTTACCGGCTCACTACCGCCACTGGATACTGGCTGTTACTCTGCCAGAGCTGCTGGACTTCACCGGAACAGAGGTCGCTGGACAAGGGGTTGCCGGCAGAAAATGTTGCTGGTCCACTTTGGTCAGTCACCGGCATCGCTGCCGGAACTCGCCGTTGGATTGAGCGCTGTCGCGTTGCTGATTTGCCTAGAGAAGAATTGGCTGGAGTTGATGCTCGGATTTGGCCAGACATCGTCGGAGCTCGCTAGTTCGAGGTTCGCATAACGCTCCCCGTTGTCGCCTCTGTAAATCGTCGCCGGTTGGACTCTTCAGCCTTGCCGTCGTAACCCATGTCTGCGAATCGAAGAAGAAAGAGGAGCGAGGATGACGACCGCGATTTCGATCAAAGCAGGCAAAAGATCCTATATATACCCTAGGGTTTTTGTACTCTCTAATTTAAAATAACGTGTCTGGGTAAAACATACTTTTCAGTTCAACTTGCTCCAAATTGAGATCTGTTCACGTTGTTGGATTCAATTCGTCGATCCTTACCCAACGGTATAACTTTAATAATCAATCAATAAGGATTTATAAATTCCACCTGGTCAGTCTTAATTGTTTCGCTTAACTAACACTGTTCAGTTATTTACTTTAATTCTTTATATTTAAATCAGATCAGTCACCAAATATTGAGACGATTAGAATCTATAAAGTGTCTTTTAATTCTTTAAAAGAATAGAGTATCGTAAATAAATAATTCTTATTTATTTACTTATCGGTTAACTTCTAGACCGGTTTTCAGGGTGTTACAATTGAAAATGACAAGTTTGAGATATAAGTTTCACTTATACCACTTTAAACTTTTAATTTCTCCAACACTAAAGCATCACATATTTAAATTTTTACATGCATCGGATTGTACCTAATTAGATCAAATCGGACAAAAACAGATCTAATCAGCAAATCAAATTCAAAACCAATAAGACCAAAACGGATCTAATGGGATCAAATGAATTTCGAATCCAATAAGATCATATCAAACTTTCACATGAAACCTGTTTACTAGTATAGGTTGTGTTCTAATTGCCTGATATAGTCTTTAAATGCATCAGATCGGACCTAATCAGATCAAATCAAATTCATGTCCAATAAGACCAGATCAAATCTTTAAAAAGATATATTTACTTGTGTACGTTGTGTCCTATTTTCCTGATGTAATCTTTAAATGCATCGGATCGGACCTAATTCGATCAAATTAGACCAAAACGGATCTAATGGGATCAAATGAATTTCGAATCTAATAAGATCATATCAAACTTTCACAGGAAACCTATTTACTTGTACAAGTTGTGTCCTAATTGCCTGATATAGTCTTTAAATGCATCAGATCGAATATAATCAGATAAAATCATACCAAAATCAATCTAATTAGATCAAATCAAATTCAAATCCAATAAGATCAGATCAAATCTTTAAAAAGATATATTTTCTTAATTGTGTACGTTGTGTCCTACTTTCCTGATGTGATCTTTAAATGCATCGGATCGGACCTAATTCGATAAAATTAGACAAAAACAGATCTAATGGGATCAAATGAATTTCGAATCTAATAAGATCATATCAAACTTTCATAGGAAACCTGTTTACTTGTATAGGTTGTGTCCTAATTGCCTGATATAATCTTTAAATGCATCAGATCGGACCTAATCAGATCAAATCAGACAAAACAGATCTAATCGGATCAAATCAAATTCATGTCCAATAAGACCAGATCAAATCTTTAAAAAGATATATTTACTTGTTTACGTTGTGTCCTATTTACCTGATGTAATCTTTAAATGCATCAGATCGGACCTAATTCGATCAAATTAGACCAAAACAGATATAATGGGATCAAATGAATTTTGAATCTAATAAGATCATATCAAAGTTTCACAGAAAACGTGTTTACTTGTATAGGTTGTGTCCTAATTGGAATTGACTCCATGCGAGTAAAAAAATTCGATTAACAAAATAATGTACAACTAATTTATTATTTTATTATTATAATGGTAACAATTAGGTAGTTTGACTATTTATTTTTTGGAAACCCATCATGTAATTTCATGAAAATAGTTCGGTTTATTCGGGATATAATTTGTTAGATTAATTTGAAAATTCACTTTTTGGTTCGGTACATTATCGTTTCAGTTCAAAACAATATTGAACCGGTATATTTGCGTACCCATAATTGAAAGTGTTATATAAGAGTGAGAAAATTTATGGACCAAAAAACTTTTTTCTTTCAAAAATCAGAATGTTGATTCTAAAAATTTTCAAGCTCATCTCAAATTTTAGAATCCCTCTAGATTTTTCATTGCCCGCTTAATATGTGCCCTCAATTTCACAATTAGGTCTACCGCCTCCCCTTCATAATATCTCTTCTCCGATAGGTATAATTTCCGTCATCTTCTTCAAAATCACAACTCTTGTATGATTAGGAACATCTATCACAGGTTTTGGATCGCTGGGCAGTCTCCACCAGTTACTGTTCACTACCGCTCTCAAACCCTTGCTTTCACCTTGAATTTTTTGAATTTTTGGACCGATTCTTAGAGCTCTAGAATCGTTTTGGGCATGGCAATCCATTCTTTAGCTCAATTTGACGTTTTGGGCGCTGGATTGAGCAAGAATCGCAGGTCAAGCTTCTCGAGTTACTGTTCATCTGCGACTTTTGAAGGTTCAATTCACCTCGGTCCAAGCTCATTTGAAGGCCAATTTTTAGGGGATTATGGGCGACTTGGGATGCTCTTTCAACACCTGAAATTGGTTTTCCAAACCGGTTGAAGGAAGCTGCGAATTGAGCAAAAATTTTGGACTCGGAGTCACTGTTCACAGCGAGTTCTTCAAGTCCAGGTTTACCCATGCTTTTTGCTCGTTTTCCATCCCATTTTCTGGTATTGTGTTCGTGATTCAATGGCCATTCAATGTCTGGTGTTGGAATCCTAATTCAAACAACTTGATTTTGGTCTCTTTGATTTGGTTGCTCGAGTTACTGTTCACGTTCTATTTGAAATTGTGAAGTTTTGTTTTTAGATATGAGAAGTAAAATTATATGAGAAGTTTTCTTTGAACGTAGAAATGTACAATATCTTTCTGCTCACTTCAGTTGGTTGTCTGTTAACAAGTTATTAAAATCTCCCGATTCCCATAGAAAGAAAAAGAGCTTGAGAAAGGAATATGGAAGAATTATACGATGTATTGCTTTCTTCACTTCCGGAATACTTGCCTTCATGCCTCTTGATTTGTCTTTTGTCTTATAATACGAAAATATTTAAAAGAAACTCTATTCCCAACACTGGTTTTTTCCCTAAAAAGTCATATTAGAGCTGAGTTTCAATTTCCAGGAGTATTTGAGTTGAATAAATATGAGTAGAATGGAATTATATGCATTTTATATTTTGTAAATAATCTTGTATTTCTAAAGAGTCGAGAATGTCTTCATATTTTCTAAATACTTATATGCATTTTGTATTTTGTAAATAATCTAATTTACAGATGAGATAGATAGAGTGCAGATTGATGAGGCTACAGTTTTGCGTGAACTAGGTTGAACAAGCTGTAAAGTTGGAAGATAGAAGCAGATTGATGAGGCTGCAGCTTCTAAATATGCAGAGGTTTAAACTTTGCTTATTTATGACCTTGCAGATGAGGCTACCTGTATATTTTGTTTAATAGGCCAATTGTTTTGCTCTTCAACTTCAATGTTTCACATTATTGCTTCTTTACTTTAATTTGAATCATCAAATCTGATTTTTTTGTATTCATATTTAAAATGGATATAGAAGACATAATTCAATCATTAGGTGGAGACCTTTGTCCAATTGAAGCGGGATTGGTGAAGGCAACCACTGACCATCTCTTAACGATCATTGAGGTATGTGTTCTCCCTTCAGTTATTGTCAATCTAAATGACTTGATGTTAGGTTTAGAGTTTTTTCTACTCTAAATTGATGGCTGATATTATGATTTTGATTTTACTGATGGAGTTATCTAAGTATAACAAATCCAAGTATCTAAAGCTACTTTTTGATTTTTGTTACGAGTTGTTGAGATAATCAAGCTATTTAATTCCAATTATGATGATGACAACACATCACTCTTCGAGTTTTTATTAACAACTTTTGCACCAATTTGAAGCTACTGCACAAAGATGAAAATGTCACTGGTTTCTATTCATTTTTTATTGTCTCTCTGTGATTTCTTTGAGTTCAGTTTGCCTCAAATGAGATAGATAGAGTACTCTATACAACTATGTTGTAGTCGATGTTAATTAATTACTCTGTAAGTTTTGTCTAGATTTCTACATACATTAAGTGAGCTAGAGCTTTCTGTGTTTCTTTCTGTGTTTCGGATTCAGAGTCTAAAAACTAGTGACCAGTCGGTTTAGACCTCAAATGCCAATTCCAGGTTATGGGTTGTGTCCTATTCATCAGCACTTAACCATTACAGCTCCATGAAAAAACCAGTACAACCTGGGCAGTCCTAGTAGCCGAAGCAATGCAAGGAAGGCAGTGAAGAACAAGGCTACAAACACTAGCAGGTTCATGATGCAATTTATCACACACAAGCTCAGTTGGTTATCCTAGAATTTAGCTTCTAAATATGGTTGTTGGTTATCAATTCTTGGGTTTGGTTTCAATTTTGTTTTACCAGCTTTGGTGTATGTTTATCTAGGTTCGACTATGATATGTAGCCCTTGGTTTTGGTTTTTATTTGGGCAATGTTTTTGATGTAGGGAATAACTTTTAGCTTTTCTCGAGGGGCTTTGGTTTGGTCCTCCCCTATTGTACTTATTTCTCTATTTCATATTTCATTTAATAAAAATACTTTCATAAATAAATAAATAAATCTATATATATATATACATATATATACATATATATATATATACACACACACACACACACACACACACATATATATATATATATATATATATATGAGTGTGTGTGTATATATATATGTATAGTTTTTATTTAGATTTTTGAAGGAATACACATCGGCTAAATATGGCTTTTCCCATCGTAAATTATCCGTTGTGCATGCAACCGATGTGAAAGCCTTCTTGTTTACACAACGGTTAAACATCCGCTGTGTAATGTTTACACAACAGATAATATATCCGATGTGTAAACTTTACACAACGGATATTTATCCGCTGTGTAAACATGAAGGCTTTCCCATCAGTTGCATGCACATCGGATATTTTGCGATGGGAAAAGTCATATTTATCCGTTGTGTAAAGTTTATTTTGTAGTAGTGGTAGCGGGACAGTACCCAGTCTGTCCATGTAATTTTTCTTTCGTTTCAATGGAAGTGTTTATTTTTTTCATGTCCATATAATTGTTTGAAGCAATGTTTATTTGATTGTTGTACATATATTGTCCGAAAGTATGAAAATAAAGTTAGAGAGCGTATCCATTTTTATTGTAAAAAAGATTACCGTTACTCTGAACCTTTAAAATAGTTCGAGGCTTAAGATCTAGACTACTATTTAAAATGAATATTCTTAACTTTTAAAATAGTTCTAGGCTTAATACGCATAATTCTCTTAAAAATAGTTTTCTTTACTTATTATAGATAACCGTAAAAAAACTATGTGACACACTACTAGTAATACATTATGGTTTCTCAAAACTTTGAAAATAGTTTAAGGATTAATAGTCTAACTACTTTTTAAAAAGGGTATTCTTAATTTATTATTAACAACTTGTAATAGATTACGGTTTCTATGAATTTTAAAAATAGTTCTACGCTATATAAATATATTACTGTTACAAGGGAGTCTTCTATTCTTATAATAAACAACTATGAAAAACAAAACCATATGAAACATACAACTAACAATATAATACTATTTCTTATAAGTTTAAAAACAGTTATAAACTGAAAAACCAGACTACTGTTTAGAAATAGTAGTCTTAACTAATTATAGACAACTGTGGCAACAAAAACTGTATTTTTAGGTGAAACGGACTACCAATAAAAGATTACGGTTTCTGACAACTTTAAAAACAGTTCTACCCTTAATTCATAGACAACTGTTACAAAAGAGTATTTTATTCCCATTAGAAACAACGGTGGCAAAAAATCATATGAAACAAACAAATAGCAATAGATAATTGTTTCTAATAAGTTTAAAAACAGTTCTAGACTAAAACATCATACTACTATTTAAATAGAGTATTCTTAACTTGTTATTGACAACTGTTGCAACAAAAACTGTATTTTGAACTAACACAGACAACTAGTGATAGATTACCATTTCTCGAAACTTTAAAAACAGTTTTAAAGCATAGTAGCTAGACTACTGTTCTGTAGCCAAGAAAAACTCACAGTAGTCTGTTTTTTAACTACTGTGTTTCCATAAATAGTAGTTAATCAACAGTCGTCTGATACTGTTTTTGGCGTAGTGGGGGTCCATACTTTGAGATCCTTTATGTAATCTTTTATCGTTAGTCCCAACATACTAAGACCCCGAAGTAGAATCAAAATTCATACAGTTCAGCATTTCACTTGGGTCGCTGAATCGTGACCCAAAAAGGTTATGTTGTGTACCGACATCAACGAAAGTGTTCATCTCCTCTACATGGCACGAGCGCTTTGCATGCACGTGTGTGGAACTGCATTTAGGCTACTCGTCTACATGTTCTGGTATTAGGGGGCAGTCTAGTATTTTAGAACTCATGTGGAAATCATTAATATGTGCATTGGTATTTTAGCATGATTTCTAAGTGAAGGTTTTGATGAATAATAAACAATGATGTGAAGATGTTATGGTTGATAAGCAATGAAGAAAGCATGTGGTTCTAACAAAGAGCATGTTCTTGAGGTGAAGATCATGCCAAGGATATGAAGACAAATAAAGAAGTGCTCAAGAGATCAAGACCGAACACCCCAAGACGTAAGTCATTAGGTAGAACTTCATGTAAGAGGAACGTTTAAGTTATCTTGGCTTTTAGATCAACTTAAGTCAATTTTCAAATGCATAAATCCTGATTTTCACACTTGCATGTTGCCCAACCAAAACCACAACCTTCACCTTTTGGCATTCGACTACCGCTGTTGGTTATCGGCTTATTGATCTTAGCCAAATGATTTTTATCTTTGTTTTTATCTTCTAGGCACATTTAAAGATTTTCCAAATGTTTAGTTTTCAAAAACCATAATCTTTGGTTTTTGGCATTGGTTATCAGCATTCGCCATTGATTATCGGTGTTGATTTTCGGTGTTCAGTTCAATCAAGTGGTTTTCATGTCTATCATTGGTTTTCACTCCTGGGTATATTTAAATGTTTTCCAAAGCTTTAGGTTTTAAAAATTACTCTTGGTTTGTTGTCTTTGGTCTAAAACCGTCGAAATCATCCTTCACCCATCGGTGATCCGTGGTTTTTAATTTAAAGACTTGATTTTTAACTTTTATTGCTTGGTTTTTACTTTATATACGATACATAAGTGTTTCCAAATATTTGTTCGTGATTTGGGAAACTTTGATTTTTAACATCAGTTTTTGTGCTTGGTTTTTGATTGCTGATTTTTGAAAACTTCAGAGAAGCCAAATAATTGATTATCACATTTTGGTGATCAATTATCAGCCTATTTTAGCCAATAACTCTAAAACTTCAGCGAGGTCTGATTGTCGACTATCGCCACTTTGATAATCGACTATCACAGTTATCGTTGCGTTCCAACGGCTAGAATTTTCAATTATTTGGTCAATTATGACCTCATGATTATCAATTATCTTACTGTTTTATTTAAAATCTTTATTTTTTATTGGCTTGTCTCTTTTGGATTGATAAGCAACGGTCACCCCTCTTCATACCCTATAAATACTTAAATAGAGGCCTTTTGCCTTATTTTCACATGAGCAACATCTCCCTTTCTTTATCAATATATCTATATCATTTGAGCATCAAATTTAAAGCTTTTGTTGAGCCATTTGATGGACAACTTTGTTTTTTCCATAGAGCTTTCATTGTATCTCTTCATCTACTCTTGCTAGAAAGTTCATATTTTAAGAGAGAGATTTGAGAAGACTAATTCTTCGCATTGAGCATTGGATTTGCTAAAAACCTATAACGGTTGAAGTCTTGGAGTGTAGTATCTCCGAGCAAGCGTTGTTGAGGCTTGTGTGACTTGAGTTCTCAGGTTGTACCATTTTGTTAAGCATCTCTAAGCTTAACAAAGTTAGTAGGACCTTCGAAAAAGACTCTTGGAAAACTGGACTAGCTACAAGTTCTAGTGAACCAGTATAAATACGGTGTATTCTTTCCTAACAGTTTTAATTCCGCATTTTACTTTATCCCATCAATTTTTGTTCTCTGAAAATTTATCGGCATTCTCGTGTCTCACTATTCACTCTCCCCCTAGTGAACAGCACATATCCTAACAATTGGTATCAAAGCCGAACTCTCTACAATCCTTAACTTGTTTAAAGAACGATCTATATTACTATATATAGTTTTTGAGAATGTTGTACGCAGGAAAAGGCGAAGGACAATCCACCATTAGACTCCCGCTCTTGCTCTTTGACGAAACAAATTACACAGTAACACAAGTTTAACTTTTCTTATTTTGGTTTATATTTCACATGCGTATTAGAGATACAGAGGGAAAGTACTGGGGTAAAACCGGGAAAAATTGAAAACAAACAACTAAAACTAAAAACAACTGAAATTAAAAGAGGGCAAGTTGAAGTAAGAAAAAAGAAGGGAAAAAAAACAGGCGCCGCAAATCAGAATTCAGAACTTGGCAATCAGGACCGCCTCTGCAAGATTATGGCTCTCCATAGCTTCTAGCAGCTTGTCCTTCGTCGGCTGCCAAAATAATTAAATTTGACCAATTCAATTTAATGTTACTCCGTATATGCACAAAGTAAAAAAAATATTACCTCTCTCATAATTTTTGTCCACTTTCATTCTTTTAAGTTAAACTAGACTAACTTTGAATCATCATTATGTAAAAACAATAATATATACTCCCCCGTTCCATAAAACTTTTCCTCTTTCATTTTTTTTGTTTTCCACAAAACACTTCCACTTTCTATTAAAAAACCACTTTTCCCCCTACTTTTTCATACCCTACATATCACATCATACTTTTTTACTCATAACCAAATTATCCCATCATACTTTTTTCCATCACATCAGGAGCAAAATTGGAAAGTCAACCAAAATTACACTTTTCTTATTTTACCCCAAAGTCAAAACCGGAAGGGTTTTGTGGAACGGAGGGAGTACGAGTTTAAAAATGATTTCAATATATTTAACTTGTTTAAAACTTTTAAAAATTTATTCCGTTGTACTAATATCGAATAGAACTTGAGAGTAATTTATGATTAATGTTTTTTCAAATTTAAAATGTCAAACTTAGCGAATACTCTGAACGGAGGAGCAATAATAACCCTAAAATACAAAATAACTACTAGCCAAATACTATGCAAAAACATAGAGCTCTATCTATTGAGTAGTTTTTTTAATACTCCCTCCGTCCCAGTGTATTTGTCTAGTTTGACTTCTCCGAGTCAAACTGGACAAATTTTGAGGTTCAATTAAATAAAAACTGTAATGTATTTTAACATAAAAATAATTTTATTGAATTTATCATATTGAGAACTTTCAAAATTACATTTCATTATACTAATATGCAATATAAATTGAGAGTATTTGGAGTTTAAAGTTTTTCCAGTTTGACTCAAAAAAATTAAACTGGACAAATACGCTGGGAAGGAGGTAGTACTACATTTTTCTTAAAGAAATTCTATTTTATTTTA